GAGAGAGAAGAGAGAGGTAGGAGCAGGAGAGAGATAGGGAGTAGGAGCAGAGAGAGAGAGAGAGGTAGGAGCAGGAGAGAGAAGAGAGAGATGAGAGGAGAGAGAGGAGGTAGGAGCAGGAGAGAGAAGAGAGAGGTAGGAGCAGGAGAGAGAAGAGAGAGGTAGGAGCAGGAGAGAGAAGAGAGAGGTAGGAGCAGGAGAGAGAAGAGAGAGGTAGGAGCAGGAGAGAGAAGAGAGAGGTAGGAGCAGGAGAGAGAAGAGGCGAGGAGGAGAGAGAAGAGAGAGGAGAAGAGGAGAGGTAGGAGCAGGAGAGAGAAGAGGACGAGGTAGAGGAGAGAGGTAGAGCAGGAGAGAGAGGTTAGAAGAGAGGATAGAAGAGAGAGAGGGTAGAGAGCAGGGAGGAGAGAGAGAAAGGGAGAGGTAGGAGCAGGAGAGAGAAGAGAGAGGTAGGAGCAGGAGAGAGAAGAGAGAGGTAGGAGCAGGAGAGAGAAGAGAGAGGTAGGAGCAGGAGAGAGAAGAGAGAGGTAGGAGCAGGAGTGAGAGAGAGGAGGGAGGAGAGATAGATAGAGAGAGGTAGGAGAGGCGAGGAGAGCAGAGGAGAGAGATTAGGGGGAGGAGAGAGAAGAGGGAGGTAGGAGCAGGAGAAGAAGAACGAGAGAGAGAGAGATGCCTCAAGGAACAGTTTTAAGAGTAATCAAATAATCTCATAAATAATGAAGCCTTGATGTCTTAAACGAATATTAATTAATACAGTAACTTGGGAGAAGCAGAGTGGTGTGGGGCCAAGTGTGTAGCCAAGTGTGTGTGGCCAAGTGTGTGTGGCAAGTGATGGGCCAAGTGATGGGCCAAGTCACCAGTCATCCACCCACACTACTCACCCACTTCACCTCAACACAGTTAAATTAACCAGTGTCAATCTGTCCCTTAATAACCCTTAAGAGTTTTGCCTCGTCTGAGGAGCTTACAATGACAGCGTCGAGGGTAGTTAAGATTGAGTAATTGGAGACCAATATTTCATTACATACGACGCGTGAGACCTCTTGAGGGACATCTCAGTCTCCATAGTCCAATAACAGTTAGTGCAAGCTTCAGTTACGCCCTCTCGTGTTAGCCGAGAACAGAAGGTACGAATAACTGCAGGTCTATTGGCCCATGTAAGGTGGCTTCTATTGGTCCATGCAAGGTGGCTTCTATTGGTCCATGCAAGATGGCTTCTATTGGTCCATGCAAGGTGACTTCTATTGGACCATGCAAGGTGGCTTCTATTGGACCCATGCAAGGTGGCTTCTATTGGACCCATGCAAGGTGGCTTCTATTGGACCCATGCAAGGTGGCTTCTATTGGTCCCATGCAAGGTGGCTTCTATTGGTCCATGCAAATTGGTCTATTGGTCCATGCAAGGTGACTTCTATTGGACCATGCAAGGTGGCTTCTATTGGACCCATGCAAGGTGGCTTCTATTGGACCATGCAAGGTGGCTTCTATTGGACCCATGTAAGGTGGCTTCTATTGGACCCATGCAAGGTGGCTTCTATTGGTCCCATGTAAGGTGGCTTCTATTGGACCCATGCAAGGTGGCTTCTATTGGACCCATGCAAGGTGGCTTCTATTGGACCCATGCAAGGTGGCTTCTATTGGACCCATGCAAGGTGGCTTCTATTGGACCCATGCAAGGTGGCTTCTATTGGACCATGCAAGGTGGCTTCTATTGGACCCATGCAAGGTGGCTTCTATTGGACCCATGCAAGGTGGCTTCTTGGACTATGCAAGGTGGCTTCTATTGGACCCATGTAAGGTGGCTTCTATTGGACCCATGCAAGGTGGCTTCTATTGGTCCCATGTAAGGTGGCTTCTATTGGACCCATGCAAGGTGGCTTCTATTGGACCCATGTAAGGTGGCTTCTATTGGACCCATGCAAGGTGGCTTCTATTGGACCATGTAAGGTGGCTTCTATTGGCTCCATGTAAGGTGGCTTCTATTGGACCATACAAGGTGGCTTCTATTGGCTATTACGTACCCTTAGTTATGGATACTCACAATATTTAATGTAAGATAAATTGTGTTAATTTATGTGTTCATATGAATTACTTTTAAAGATAGTGAACTTACCCTAGACTATTTCTTATCACTGTCCATTGATACACGAGCTGTAGGAACTAGCTAGTTAACACTAGACAGCTGCTACGGGCTGCTTCCTGGGGGTGTGTAACAAAAAGGAGGCCTGGTCGAGGACCGGGCCGCGGGGACGCTAAGCCCCGAACGTCCCTAACCCATCCCTAACTAACAAACCTATTCCTAACCATACATAACTAACATAACTATCCCCAATATACACAACTAGCCCTAACCTCGAAAAGCAGTTCACTTTTCAAGTCCTTTTCCCATGCGTGTGAGTCCGAATCTCAGTCAACCGAGCTATTGAGTGGTCTTAATAAGGAAAGGTCTCCCATCTCCATCTCTTCCCTTCCTTCTCTCTCCCATATAAATTTAGATTTAAGAAATACCTGGGTAAATACTGGTTTGGAAATAGAGGGGTTGATCTATGGAACAAATTGGTGGGCAACATAGCTGCTCGATCACATGATTGTTTCAAGCGTAGGTTAGACGTATATGTGAAAGCCTTTGGTTATTGTTTTATGATGCTTGTTAACTTCTTGCCTTTCAAACATGCTAATTTCCTCCCATGCTAATTCCCTCCCATGTTAATTCCCCTCCCATGTTAATTCTCTCCCATGTTAATTCCCTCCCATGCTAATTTTCTCCCATGCTAATTCCCTCCAATGTTAATTCCCCTCCCATGCTAATTACCATCCCATGCTAATTCCCTCCCATGTTAATTCCCTCCCATGCTAATTCCCCTCCCATGTTAATTACCTTCCATGATAATTATCTCCCATGTTAATTCCCTCCCATGTTAATTACCTCCCATGTTAATTATCTCCCATGCTAGTTCCCTCCCATGCTAATTCCCTCCCATGTTAATTCCCTCCCATGCTAATTCCCTCCCATCCTTGTTCCCCTCCCAAGTTAATTCCCTCCCATGCTAATTCTGACCCAGCTTGCACACCCTTCATCCCATGCTCCATATCTCCCACCTTCTCTCTCTCACCCCTCTCACCTTCTCTCTCACCCCCTCCCACCTTCTCTCCCACCTCCAAGCCACTGTTCCACTTCCCTCCCACATTACACCACCTACAGTACAATTTTGTTCAAACTTTTTTCATTATAAACTTCTTGAGCTGATATATATATTTTTTGATTACCAAAACATCTCGTTGGGTGAATTAATTAAGTTAATCATTAACCGATTATCTTTAAGCGTATAAGTTGTGTAATTATATAATTTTATAATATATAATTATATAATTTTAGGTCACTATTATATAATATAAACCTCGTCCTGTAATCTCGACTACTGTTGCACATTGCAATGTTTTTTGTTGACAATTATATTTGATTTTATGTAGCGAAAATAGGCAGATAAAAATTAATATCAAGAATTTTATTTTTTAGATATTGCAAAGAGGAGAGAGAAAGGGAGGGTGTAGGGGGTAAGGGAGGCACAAGGGGGGGTGAGGGAGGGAAGATACAAAGGGTAAGGGAGAGGGAGGGAGATGATGAGGGGTAGAAGGTAAAGGGGGGTAGTAGTGTGATTAAGGGGTGGTTAAGGGAGTGCAAGTGTGAATGGGGTAAATCAGAGGGAATGTAGTTAAATGGGGAAATGAGAGGTTAAATGGGTAAAACGATTGGGGGGTAAGGCAGGAAAGGGGAAACATGTTACAATCACACAATCCATTACAATCAAATTCAGCCATCTTTGAGAGTCATATAGGATATATAAATTTGAGTACTAATATAGTCTTCAAATATTAGAATAGTCGAGTGAAACAAGATGGCGCCTGATTCAATTCTGATATAGCAGATGACAACGAATTATTGGTCACGTGACCTAGCTTAACCAATGGGAAGAGTCTTATTGACGTCACGGGTCACCGAGACGTCCCAGGATTGGTCGACAGCATGTCGCTTGCTCTCCTGATGTCAGTATAGGTTTATACTGCTCCCAACAGATGGGTCTGCTCTCGCTCTCCTCTCTCTCTCTCTCTCTCTCTCTCTTCTCTCTCCTCTCTCTCTCTCTCTCTCTCTCTCTCTCTTCTCTCTCTCTCTCTCTCTCTCTCCCCCTCCTCCTCTCCCCCCCCTTCTCTCTCTCTCTTCTCTCTCCCTCTCTCTCTCTCTCCTCTCTCTCTCCTCTGTCTCTCTCTCTCTCTCTCCGCTCCTCTCTCTCTCTCTCCCTCTCTCTTCCTCCCTCTCTCTCCCTCTCTCTCTCTCTCTCCCTCTCTCTCTCCTCTCCCTCTCTCTCTCCCCTCTCTCTCCTCTCTCTCTCTCTCTCTCTCTCTCTCTCTCTCTCTCTCTCTCTCTCTCTCTCTCTCTCTCTCTCTCTCTCTCTCTCTCTCTCTCTCTCTCTCACCGTTGTCGAGTTCAGCATGTTTATAACACTGACTTCACTGAATTTAATTTAATTTTTAATTAGTTTAACTCTCTCACTGGCTATATATCTGACAAGAGCCGCATATCAGCCCCTTGCAGTGCGAGCAAGAGAGAGAGAGAGAGAGAGAGAGAGAGAGAGAGAGAGAGAGAGAGAGAGAGAGAGAGAGAGAGGAGAGAGAGAGAGAGAGTGTGTGTGTGAGAGAGAGAGAGAGACTGATCTTTGGTTGTCAACAGTTTATAAACTTGCTATATTATACATTATAGACTTGATTGGACCGGACTACGGCCCGATTGGACCGGACTTCGGCCCGATTGGAACGGATTTCGACCCGATTGGACCGGAGTACGGCCCGATTGGACCGGAGTACGGCCCGATTGGACCGGAGTACGGCCCGATTGGACCGGACTTCGACCCGATTGGACTTCACGAAGCTAATCCCCCCTGAATCTAGCAAACAGAAAACGCGGAATTAGATCACAACGAATCACACTTGACAAAGATCAAAACAAGATGCCATTATATTTCCGCCCACAATTTCTAGTTACTAATTACCCCAATGCGGTTGTTAACGACCGTAACGACCACGGACGTAACGACCACGGACGTAACCACCACGGACGTAACCACCACGGACGTAACGACCACGGACGTAACGACCACGAACGTAACCACCACGGACGTAACCACCACGAACGTAACCACCACGGACGTAACGACCACGGACGTAACCACCACGAACGTAACCACCACGGACGTAACCACCACGAACGTAACCACCACGAACGTAACGACCACGGACGTAACCACCACGAACGTAACGACCACGGCCGTAACGACCACGGACGTAACCACCACGGACGTAACCACCACGGACGTAACGACCACGGACGTAACGACCACGGACGTAACCACCACGGACGTAACGACCACGGACGTAACCACCACGAACGTAACCACCACGGACGTAACCACCACGGACGTAACGACCACGGACTCAATAATGCCACATACTATACATTATAATAATAAAGATCTGGCCTTTCTAAGAAAATCACTTTCCTAGCACCACCACTGTGTGCAATAATGCCATTGCAATATGGCCAGCTAATCATAGCAGCTATCAACAAAAGTGCCGAAAACACATGGCACAGAATCCAAAATGAATCCTACCCCAGAGTCATTGCATCTAACTCAACCTGTGACGCTAGGAATTAGCGTCACGTCTAACTCAACCTGTGACGCTAGGAATTAGCGTCACGTCTAACTCAACCTGTGACGCTAGGAATTAGCGTCACGTCTAACTCAACCTGTGACGCTAGGAATTAGCGTCACGTCTAACTCAACCTGTGACGCTAGGAATTAGCGTCACGTCTAACTCAACCTGTGACGCTAGGAATTAGCGTCACGTCTAACTCAACCTGTGACGCTAGGAATTAGCGTCACGTCTAACTCAACCTGTGACGCAAGAAACTAGCGTTGTGTCTCTCATCAATATTGATGCGATATGTTGCAAATATGTTCCTTAAGTGGAGATGAGACATTTATATATGTGGGAGAAGTGATCACCTATACGACCAGGTGTCAATTAGATTAATTAGTTCATAATCTAATTAGAGTAATTACTCATAATCTTACGTGGTTTAGGATAATAACGTTACTCTGTGTCATATACAAAATACAACTTGTATTCAGTGTTTCCCCTAAACTTAATACAACACTGAACTATACGCTATATTATTCCATTATTGTAGCAATGTATTATTCACAGGATTCTATATAACTACACAGGATTATATTTACCTACACAGGATTATAAAGATTACACAGGATTATAAAGATCACATAGGATTATACAGCATTATACAGGATTATATATGAGTACACATTCAGAAAAACTAGCCCAAATGGTGCTACACAATCTTATAGGGCACGTGAGAGTATTTGATCCTGTTTCATGTCTGTGAAGAATGACTCCTTTGTACACAACCTGTCCTTAACAACAATGCCCAAATGCTACAGAAATAATGCCAGGCAGGAACAGGAACAATGCAATAAGGCACTGGGGAATTAAGAGTGCTACGGAGCACCAGAAACGGTGAAACGGAACACAGAGATCCCTGTTACGAGGCCTCAGGAACAGCCACTAAGTAACAGCACCATGGAACACACTGTCAGCACAAGAGACCAGCAGGTATTCCATTAGGGAAATTTTTGAGTAGCGCCCATGGAGCCTCGTAGGTCAAACGACGCCCACAGCCGCCCACAGCCGCCCACAGCCGCCCAACAAAGTCTGCTGCTCTGCACGTTTTTAATAACGAGTTCTGCCGTAAGGTGGAGCCTTACCACAAGAATTTTGATGGAATTGTTCGCGCGTCCTGAACTGTGGGAGGGAGGTAGTGGGAGGGAGGTAGTGGGAGGGAGGTAGTGGGAGGGAGGTAGTGGGAGGGAGGTAGTGGGAGGGAGGTAGTGGGAGGGAGGTAGTGGGAGGGAGGTAGTGGAAGGGAGGTAGTGGGAGGGTTTTAGTGGGAGGTAGTGGGAGGGAAGTAGTGAGAGGGAGGTAGTGGGAGGGAGGTAGTGGAAGGGAGGTAGTGGGAGGGAGGTAGTGGGAGGGAGGTAGTGGAAGGGAGGTAGTGGGAGGGTTTTAGTGGGAGGGAGGTAGTGGGAGGGAAGTAGTGAGATGGAGGTAGTGGGAGGGAGGTAGTGGAAGGGAGTGGTAGTGGGAGGGTGGTAGTGGGAGGGTGGTAGTGGGAGGGATGGTAGTAGGAGGGAGGTAGTGGAAGGGAGGTAGTGGGAGGGTTTTAGTGGGAGGGAGGTAGTGGGAGGGAAGTAGTGAGAGGGAGGTAGTGGGAGGGAGGTAGTGGAAGGGAGGTAGTGGGAGGGTGGTAGTGGGAGGGTGGTAGTGGGAGGGGGGTAGTGGGAGGGAAGTAGTGGGAGGGAGGTATTGGGAGGGAGGTAGTGGAAGGGTCGTAGTGGGAGGGTTGTAATTCATTACAATAAATGCAATCAACATAAAACAGTGATAAAATTTTATAACAATAACACCACGTCTAACCATTCTTTGGATATTAATCATAGAATGTATTTTAATACTAATAGACGTGTATACAACTGCTCGAATTTCAAAGGGAAATGCCTAATAGCAGAAGTAATTATAGATTCGCAGGCGAGGAGTCACAATAACGTGGCTAAAGTATGTTGACCAGACCACACACTAGAAGGTGAAGGGACGATGACGTTTCGGTCCGTCCTGGAGCATTCTCGAGTCGATTGAAACGTCGTCGTCCCTTCACCTTCTAGTGTGTGGTCTGGTCAACAATTAGAGATTCAATAGCGACAGTAAAGGGCAATAAATCTTTTAGTAAAGATGATCCGCTTAACCGTGAAATTATTCTTCGTGAAGAACAACTAATCTCATTAATTCACATAAGTCCCTAGTGAGGCCCTAGGGAAGTCCTTAGGGAGTCCTTAGGGAGTACTTTGGGAGCATATAATCACATTAACGATATGTAACGATGGATGTCAACTAAAGACCTCTGCCCCATTTATAAACGCAAGCCCCTAGAATCTTGTTCAAAACACTATGTACACAACCTTCAGAAAGAATGTGCTTTACATCCGAAAATGTGTTTTTAATCCGCTGGGGTTCTAGCTTGGGCTGTGCCAGGGGCTATGTCTGGCGCTGGAGAGGTTGAGTTTATAGAGAAAGAGCAGAGTTGCTCAGATCAGGCTTAACTCCTCTCTCTTCTAAAAACTTGAAGAAACTTTCCCATAAAACTCTTAACTCAAACACTTAATTAGCCGTTGATTAGCTCAGGCACACACTTAAGTGCGTGCAAGTTAAGCGTGCCTAGGCTTTTGCTTCCACTAGGATGGATTTCAATTCAATTTTCTCAACAAGTTGTTGCAGGAGTTGATGGCTTGAAGCGGCGGCAGCTCGCCTTGCAAGTGCTAGACAAGAAATCTGATCCAGTTCTTAAGCTCCATTCTGTCTGGGAAAACGCCTTCACCCGCTGCGTTAAAGTTTTCCATATCTTTACTAAAGCCATTCCAGTAAGGGCAGAAAGCCTGGAAACGGATCTCTCCCGTCTCGTCTCTCTGGCGTGAAGCCAAGCTGAACATCACACAGTTTTCCTCCTCCGTAGAAATGCTTAATTAAATACCTCAATGATTCCAGATTTCCAGACCCTCGGGTCATGCATTTTCCAGTCAGTTTGGGAGGCTGTGTTTGCTGGCTTTATCGTCTGTCGCTGTCTGACCAACTCTTCCAGCATAAATCTACCCCCACCCCCCCCCACACAGTCCTTTCCCTTAGGAAACGGTGGTGTTGAGGAGGTTAGTCCAGCGTTACAACTCCAGAGTTATCGTTCCAGAGTTGTTTATGTGGTGCTGCGGAAGCCTGGAAAGGCGGTCAGTTCCAGACTTGGTGCGGCCAGGAGTGAGGACGGGGCTGTAATCCCGTAACTCTCTAGCTTTTATGGTACGGGCGACCGTAAAGAGGGGTTGCTGGTCTCCTGGATGGCCCGGGGTGTGGCGTGGCATTTAAGACTTTTGGCCGGGGTGAAGCTGGAGCCGGGATCCTTGGGGTAGTTGACCAGGGGTCTCTGAGGGCTGGGGGCGGATCTAGGAGGTTTGGAGACGGCTTTTTGGGGAGTTGGGTCGGGGATGGACCTGAAGCTAGATAAAGGTATTGGGGTTCTTTGCCTAGGACTGGCCCTTGGGCCCGGGAATGTACTGGGGGTTATGGACTGGGAGAGTCACAAGTACTGGGACTGGGAAACAGGCTGGAGAACTGTGATTCGAACTAAAGACAGAAAAATCAGGAGACCGTAGATATAGCATAAGTTTCTTAGAGGCACCTAACTGAGTCTCTTAACCTTATACCTTGAGTAACCCAGTGGTATGGGGGAGTAATTCACCTTCATTATAAGCATCCTGGCCTGGCTGCTAGAGCGACGGTCTCATATATTTCAAGTTCTAGAGCTGGACCTTCAACCTTTGAGGAATTGAGCTTAAGCTTTAGCCACTGCAAATATTTTGTCATCAATTAAAGCTTGAATTAGTACAAAAAATTGGTAAATCAAGCTTGTCCCCAGATAAGCAAGAGTCCCCACACACACAAGCAAGAGTCCCCACACACACAAGCAAGAGTCCCCACACTCACAAGCAAGAGTCCCCACACACACAAGCAAGAGTCCCCACACACACAAGCAAGAGTCCCCACACTCACAAGCAAGAGTCCCCACACACACAAGCAAGAGTCCCCACACTCACAAGCAAGAGTCCCCACACAAGCAAGAGTCCCCCACACAAGCAAGAGTCCCCACACTCACAAGCAAGAGTCCCCACACAAGCAAGAGTCCCCAACACAAGTAAGAGTCTGATACAATATTACTAACCACTACAGATAAACAGTTCCATCCCAACACGATCTTCCCCTCCACTCTTGACCAGAATGTCCCCACAACTCAGCGAAGAGAAAGACAATTACAAGGGATTAATAAACTAATTTGATAAAGAGACTGAGGCCAGCCTTTCAGGCGGAACCGGTGGAGGAGAAAAATGTTGTCCTTGTACTACCCACCAAAACACACACCGAAACTACGACGTTGGTACAACGTTCGAGCAAGTTTAACACCACCTAACCAGTTATAACAACTAATATAGCAAGTTGTAACAACGTTCTAATACGTCATAAACACGTTAAGCCAAGATGTAACAACTTTATTTCAAGTTGTAACAAGCGGAAAATAGAGACAGTTTCGGTTTGTGTTTCCAGGGTAAACGTTGCGTCCTGTGCATTGCATTGCTGAAAAAAGCATTCATGATTGCAACTTCAAGTTGTTGAATTACCAGCCATTTTTTTTTCAGACGAGATCAAGGTTTTGGGAGCCTTTCCGAGGCCTAATTCCACCTAGGCCCGGTTCCATCTAGGCCCAATTGGCAAAGAGTTACTCAGCGCTGAGATTTCACCGAAAAAAAGTATTTTTTAACCTTTAAAAAAACATCTAAAATCAAATAAAAAC